TATATATATATATATATATATATACACACATAATTATTCTCTCATTATACATTTCATATTAGACATGGTGTAAGAATCTCATACTAAGCATAGTGTTATAGGTATTCTTCAGATTCTGTCAACATATTCTGCATAAAAAAAAACACCATTCTGTTTTCGCCTTGCAAATGTCTGAATCGTGAAGAGAAATTCTCATGGACACTATAACAGCGACTGACTTTTAATTATCCATCGCACGTCATTGTATAAAGTGGACTCACTTCGTGCAATCCTTTTATTACGTGTGAAACTTGCGTCAGATGTTTGTACGAAGAAAACATACATGGCAACCTATTGGATGACGCCGATATCCTATAATTTTCGGCATCTTATTGTTTATTATGTACTCATAATTTTAGTTTAAGGCAGTTACGTTGTACGTACACATATTACGTACGATTAAAGAAATGCAACACTTGGAGTGCAACACTCACGTTCGCTTTATCACGTTAAATCATCTGGCGAGGAAACGAACAAATTGAATTGCATAACGCGATCTATTGCATTTGATAGAGCAGAAGTTTCTATTCTTCCAGACCTTCGAAGTTACATCAATTTCGTTAAATAATATTTCATTCTTATGAAACTTAAAACTATGAAGTGTTAACATAATGGCGTTAAGGAGATCCTAAAGCTGTCTGTATTATCAATTCAATAGAACACATACACTTTACGTGTCATTGACATATCAGTATACTCTGCTACATAATATGCACACATGCATGCAATTTTTTTCTAATTAATTATAATATTTTATATTAGGTATCTAAGCCTAATTCTAAGAACACATTTTTTGTTCATGTAATCCTTAGTCGAAACCAAGATTATTTTATACGTACGAGTTTAAAATTTATATATAAAATAAATATCATTGCGAATCGACATCAGAAACTGATAATAAAACTGTAATTTTTTAACATTTTTTTTATTTTTGACATAAAGTCGATCGGTTTGAGTTACATATGAACTATTGAGTTACATATGAACGCTCATATTTTCATTGGGGAGAAGGATTTTTAAGTCTGTAAGCCTATAAAGGCAATTAGAAAAATACTTATTTAAAAAATAATCGATAAAACAGACGATTTTAGCATCCCCTTAAATGACGTGCATTATACTCACGTCCGTTATCCTTGCGTGTGAAACATGGCTCGCATATATCTGTACGTACATATATCACCTATGCGTTAAGTATGCGTGCGTACGTCCGCACGCAAAGTATGACGTCGAATTCCTCTTAGAAAATAGGAGGACTCATCCATGATTTTTCTACATTCTCTGTTGTCGGAGAAATTAAAAAAGAATTCGTATCTCTTAGAACAATTATGATTAGATATCAGTTTCCAATTATATTACAGTAAAATGCTTATCTTATTTCGATACTTTTTTTTGTTTGTAAAATATTCGAAGAATTCGAAATTAAGAGAGAAGACAACTTAATTTTTAATCGGTAATTCTATTATCTTTTTTGTCTAACAAACTTTGCCATGATGTAACGCACGTTTTGTATTTTGAACATTAATGTCTACACGTCTCGTTGAGATAATATATTCATCAGTTAATACACTTTTTTTTAAAATATACGAATTAAAATAAACTTATTTAAAATATTTCAGGGATAATTTTAACACGAGCGTGAGGTGCTGCACTGAGGCGCTCATAGCAGATTCGCTCGACTTTGCAAATTTTACATACTATCGCCATATTTTTCTAAGCAATAACTTTTAATGTAATCGTAATATAATCGTATAAGTGTATTTGTTAGAGGCACATCTTTTCACTTTAAATAGAAACACTTGCGCCGTATGAATAAATGTGCGCATATTCGAATCTAAGAGAGTGTCGAAGATTAGATTACTGTCACGATGCATTAATTCGATCTTCACATACCTTTATCGTTCGTGATATCTATCTTTTTTTTTTTACTTATAAGTACTTATTGAGGGACTTATTCGCAAATCACTTCCTGCGAAGTCAGCTCTCTAAAAAGATGTAGTTTTTAATTGCTGTTTTTTTCTTTTTCCTAGGGATTGTTCGTTTCAGTTGAAACGATTGAGGGAAAGGATAGTGTGTTTGATATTTGACGTGTATATTCAAATAGAATACTTCGTAGCATAAGAAGGGTCGTAAATTTTCTCGCGGTTATAAGCTGGATTGTGAAAAAGAGCTCTTTTTTGAAGCGCATAATGCTTGTTTTTTGATTGAGAAGACCCTTTTAAGCGTTATTTTACACTTGATAAGATTTTTTTGTTGGAAAAATCGTAATAAACACCGTTTTCTAATAATCGATAATTACGTACTACATTAAGATTATTGAATAATTAAAAAGTTATTGTAATTGTGTATGCGCTTTTACACGACTGCAAAGTTATTCTCATAATGAATAGTTATTTAGGTTTCAAAATCTAGACCTAATGATATAAGGCACATATGCAATTCTCAAATTATTTAAAAAAACTTCAAAAAAAAAAAGATACATTAGCATTCATATTTCTGCAAGAAACATCGATTTATTACGTGAAATCGCCAGATCGCAAGATCGCAATTGTTTTTCATGTCTTTGTTTTTGCACCGAACAATGTCAGATTGATATTGCTAAAATGCAAAAAGCGTGAAATTTTGCAAATCATTTTTGTTTAACCACTCGTAATCAGTGACAGTTAAGGAAAAGGGAACCCGGGATATTTACTTAATACCACATATTTACTTGTTTTAATAAATTTGCTATTGTAGTTATTTATCTAACGATTCATAGAGAAAGATATTGTATGTCGGAAATAAGTGCGGTAATGACAACAATCTTAAAGAATGATGATTATAATTATGAATGTAATGAAAATAGGACAGCTTTGTATGGAGAAAAATAAGGAAACGAAATATGGAGTGTATTGTTGTCTATTAAGTGTTATGTTACAGCATATAAATAAAACAGTACTGCTATATATAATCATAATGACGTCTAATGTACTTAATCTTTGAATTTCTTTGTTATCCAGAATTTTTATATTTTTGTGTATGTACCATCGAATTTACAGATGCGATCTCTTTTCTAACATATTAGGGAAGTTTTACAATAATATATATCCATATATGGTAAACGCTAAAATCATCAGTTATCCTCTTCTTAATTGGATGTTAAGAAGAAGATAACTGACTTTAGCGTTCATCATATCTGGATAAACGATATTGTAAAAACTATCTATTATTATGAAATGTTACTCCGTATTTTCGACTCTTCTCACGCAATTATAGAAAATATTAAATCATTTAATAATTATATCGGCAAATGCAGGTAAGTACTATACATTTTTTCATGAATTTAATTTTTTGCATGTTTATATTATTTAATCTTATTTAAACTCAAATAAGATTTTATGATTAAATGAGCTTATTAAAGATTCAATTAACAAGAATTAAATTGCATGCCAGAATTTATTTTATGAGAATACAAGAACTGGCAAGTTTATCCACTTGGCGACAACTAGTATGGATTACTCAAAAAAGAAAAAGAGAGATCGATAATATTTATTTCTTTTATTTTGCGATATCGCTCAGCTCGTTCTGCAACTCTACAGGAATGAACGCGCATAAGAGATCGATAAAATACTGATACTTTATTGCTTGTGTTAAATAATTATAGTAATCATAATGAACTGTTTTAACTGTTTTGTTGACGATCGGTTTTTTTCTTTCTGCGAACGTTTTTTTTTATACATTAT